ATGGAGGATTGATCTATATGCAATGACTATATCAAATGGACACTTCACAGTTTACAAGTAATTAATGTCTATAATTTCGAGAGTGCAATTCCAAGTTTATAGTGGAGTAGCTATTGGAATTAATAGAATTAATTAATTAATTAAAGTGTTTAATTAATTATTAATTTTATTGGAGCTCGGGATTATAGGTCTATTAGTCCCCGCGTCGTCCTAGTAATTCTACAAGGCACAAAGGACAAAATGGGTATTTTAGAATTATGGAATTCTAAAATTAAACACTCAAAAATAATTAATTGAGAATTAATTATTATTTAAATAATATGATTATTTAAATTTGAATTTGAACACATCTATATTTATCCATTTAAACTTATTTGATAAGTTGTTCAATTTAGAATTCAAATTAATTTAAGTTTGACTTAAATTCGAATTTGAATTTGAAATAAAGTTGGACTACAGGATAAATGATGATTTTCTCTTCCTTCCCTATCCAGTATTCGCGCCACACACAGGGATAGGAATCCCTAGCATGGCCAGCCACAAGGGATAAGGGATAGAGGAGATTTTGTTCAAAATTCAAATAGGAGATAATTGACAAGCTGTATCTTGGAGATAGAGATTGGATTCTTTCTAGAAGTTTGACTTCTACTCTATAAATATGAGAATGATAGAAAAATGTGAAGACAATTTTTGAAACAATTTTTCAGCCCTAATTGTCAAGGCTGGCCGAAATTCTCGTTGTAGAGAGGAAGGAAACATTTTTCTCCAAAAAATTCCACATCGTGCATGCGTTGGTGTTTGTGAAAATTCGAGTGTTTATTGTAACCCATTTTGTCTCATGTGTGCCCACACACACGTCTTCATGGATTCTAGGAATTGACATGGAAGACATTGGTTTTCTAAACACAAAGCTTTGGAGCAAGGATTGTTCGAGGTTAAAGAACTTAAGTTATCATCCGAGTCGGCCTCCAGGTATTTTTCCTAATTGAGTTCTTAATAAATGAATTAATGAGATTAATTTATTCATGCATAAATTAATATAATCTATAGAGTATCTCAAAGGTTTTATGAAAATTTTTGTTATACACGATCCGCCTCCCCGCACCACGCTTCCGTATCCGAATTTGATTCGGAGACCAACAGTCCCGGAGCTGTCTCGGGGATGTCCCGGGGATGCCCCGAGGCTGTCCCGGGGATGCCCCGTGGCTGTCCCGGGGATGCCCCGGGGCTGTCCCGGGACTGTCACGGGGTTGTCCCGGTGCTGTCCCGGGGCTGTCCCGAGGTTGCCCTGTGGCTGTCCCGGGGATGTCCTAGGGCTGCCCCTTGGTGTCCCGGCGACGCCCCGGGGCTGTCCCGGGGGCTGTCCCGGGGCTATATTAATCAAGAGTGAGTGGTAAAAATCTAGACTCATACACTTTAAAATGTATTTTTCTCATTTCATCTATTTAGCTGAATGAGAGAGTTGGTGTCCAGTTAAAGTCGATCTTCATTACTTTTTTCATGACATTTAACGTAAATGTAACCCATCGAACCAATGAAGTTTTGATAAATATTCTTTAAAAATACACAAATTTTAATTTTTACTTTTTATTTTGATTAATATCTTTTTTAATTAAATAACTATATTAATAAAAAGTAATAGACAAAAATCTTAGAGCCCGTTTGGTAAAGAGATTTATTCCCTGATTCGAATCATGATTCATAATTCGCTACAGTATTTTCTTTAACAAAAAATACACGTAAATAAAAAATAATTCTAATTCATAAACAATTTTTTCGTAGAGTAAATTGTACATTCTTGGGCTTGGGCATTAAAGACAGTGGCCCAGCCCGGCCCAAACAACACGTTTCAGACATAAAGCGTGCAAAGGAAGGAGGGAGAAGCCTTGTGGGAGAAGAGTTTGATTCTCTCTCTCTCTCTCTCTCTCCCTCTCTCTCTCTCTCCACTCTCCAGTAACACTCTCCAGTCTTCCCTCCCTCCTTCCCACCATAACTCTTTATAAAAACATCCAACCTCTGCTGCGTTACTTCTCTCTCTCTCTCTCTCTCTCTCTCCACACTTTCTCTCACATCTCTCTTCTTCTTTCGCAGCGATTCACTTCGCCCTCTCTCTCTCTCTCTGGTACGTGAAAACTCCCTCTGATTCTCTCCCTACCGATCATCCTTTGCGACTTTTGGATCGGAAAAGTGAGTGATTCCTCTGTTTCTTGTTGCTCAATTCTTCCATTTCTTTCTCTTTCTTTCTTTGTTTAGGGTTTCGGATTAAGTTTTGTTTTCCTTTGTCCAGTCAAGATCTGTTCCCGCTATTGAAATGTCGGTTCTTGGGAGCTAAGTTTTGAATGATTTAAACACATTTAACGAATTTACGGCCTGTTGAACTGACTTTCATGGTTTTAATTTTTCGCGATTTGGTGTTAATATCTCGTTTTATCGATTTTTGGCGAAAAGTGGATGCTTTTGAATGAAAATTAGGGAATTGCATGCAATTTACTTCGAAAATTTCATTTCTTGTTATATTTTTGGGGGGAAAAAAAGAAAAGAAGATAAAGAAAAAGGCTGCTTGTTGCTTTTCTTTTTTTTCTTTTAAATATCTTTTCTGGGATTTGATGCTAGTTAGTGAAATGTACACTAAATTAATTTCTGGTGTTGTTGTTCTTTTTTCATTTAGTTCTTCCAGTTCAGTGAAGTATGTACTCAGCAATGGAATCATCGGGTTCAGAGTATAATGACGAAGAAAGGGCGTTGAAGGGTTTGCTTGATGCATTTGGTTCTGCATTTACTCTAGATGAAATTGCTTCTGCTTATTGCAAGGCAGGCCGGAATGCGGATTTGGCCGGTGAATTTCTCTATGAAATGCAGGGGAACGCATCGACGTCTACCGATCATCCGGTCGATGGTGAAACAAAGGGGAGTGAACAATCTTCAGCATCATCATGCGCTAATGATAATGTTTCTGAGCAGTCTTATGAAGTGAATGGAAACTCCAGACCTACAAATCCGAAAAATCGCCCGGTTTCGGTTGGTAGTGTTTCAAGCATTATTGGTAAGGACTATGTTCGGACCACAAGACCAACAAATGGGTCTTGCAATGCAACCAAACCGATGAAACTGGAATCAAAGGTGTTGCCGGTACCCGAACTTTGGGAGGAAGAAGCCAAGTCAAACTCTGAAAGGGACGATTCGATTCGTCGTGATATGGAAGAATTTCTGTTCCGCATGCTTGGGGATGGTTTCCGGCTAGAGAGGAATGTGATTGAAGAAGTTCTTGGTAAATCCTCTACTTACATGGTGTTGAAGATTAAATTTAAAATATAACTCAATAGTTCTATTTGATGGTTCTATGATGGCGTGCTTTAATTTGAGATTGTAGTTAGACCAGTTTTGATTTACATTCAATTAATATTTAAGATACTTTGATTTGTGAAAATTAATCGGGGATTATATTTAAAAATGCAGATGCTTGTGGGTATGATATGCCAAAGGTACACCTTTTTCGTTCTCATTGACAAAGCTATGGAGGGTTTTGTATTTTCTTTTGATAATTCTTTTATTTTATTGGAATATATATATATATATGTGTGTGTGTGTGTGTGTGTGTGTGTGTGTATCTCACTTCTAAGCTTCGTTTTCTTTCCATTCAGACGATGGAGAAACTACTAGATCTTTCTACGACAGCCCTGGACAAAAAGAACAATTTTGTCGGTGACTCCACTAATAAGGTTGGTATGATTGCCAAAATAATAACATAGAAGCACGAAGTAGCAAACAAGATTAATAAGAGCATGATGCTCGAATGATTTATACCATGATCTAATCATGAGATCAAGATTATTATGTTTTGAGTTTTTTCAAAGACAATCTAGTTTTCTTATTCTCAATTAGAGTTTCTTGTCCAGATTACAGGTTTGTGCTCCAAAAATGACGCTCCTTCAGGTCAAAAGAAGTGCACAAACTATTGTGGGGGGTACGTTTCCTTCCTCTCTTTTGTTTAGCTCTTAGTTTTATTTTCACAATCTTTCTACAAAGTGTGAAGGCATGCTGATTAAAGTTTTCTTGTATTGATATAGTAATGACGATGCAGCATTAAACTCAAGTGTAGAGTTAACTGCAAAACAAAAGCAAAGACATGATCTCGAGAGGGAAATTATGGCTTCTTTATTTAATGCTTCTGAGAGAGAGACAGAGTATGAATTGCCTAAAAAAAGATTGACGGTGGGGAAGAGGTCGGGGGTATTTGGAAAGCCAGTGACTGAACCTCTTCATGACTCGATTGTGGCACAAAAGATAACTGAAGTGCAGCAACAGCGACAAAATCAGTACGGTATGCCCGGTGACTGCATCTTTCTTTATACATGGGATTTTTATTTCTCCACTATTGAGTAAAGGAGAGAATTTTTTTTTTTTCTTTTTTTTTCTTGTTTTTTTTCTACCTGCAAGTGGGGTATGGGATTAGATGAATATACAGCTAACTCCTATGAATTGATTCACTATAAAAGCCATGAGAAGCATATTAATCCTGTCGTGTGAACCTGTGAATATATCCTGGGGTGTCTGCGGAGTATGGCCAACAGCTATATAATTGTGAGGCCGGGGTATGTTTCAGTTTGATTTTCAACTTTCTGTTCACTTTCTCTTTATGGTACAAATTGCAGACGAAGTAGAAGAGAGTTACAAGGCTGTTCGTAGAGCTGTGAAGGAGTATCGTGGAATGGTGAAGGAGTATTATCAATCTGTAGGTGACCTTTTACAGCTTCTTTTATATGTCTACCCATACGTATGCACGTCAGAGAACATAAAATGTAGCATTTTATAGCTTTATAGGATTGCACTTGTACAATTTGCTAGGCTGTGGAAGCATTCGTAAAGGGTGATCGTGCTCGAGCTCAGAAACTTCTAGAACAGGTATGTTATCCATTTCTCCACAAACATTATTGGTGAGGACTTGTTGTAGCAGAGATATAATTTCTTTCCTCATGGCAGGGAATGTTTTTCCATCAGAAGGCTCGTGAAGCTGATGAGGAGTCTAGTGAAATGATTTTTGGAAACAGGTCAGTATCGATTCAGATGAGATGTATCATGTATGCTATTTCACCCCTCCCTACCTCTCTCTCCCTCAGATATTTATGGGTTGACGTATTGCGGTTCGCATTATTTTCTGTGTTTTATTCTCTTGGCAGAGATGTGGAGGCACAAGATGACATGTTGCTCGACTTGCATGACCATGGTGCCAAGGTGGCAATTCAGCTTTTGAAGTGTCGTCTTTCTTCTCTTTCAGGCATTCCATGTATGTCCTTGGATTTCTGCTTCTACATATTTTGGTTTGTTCTGTGTGAATTGCAATTATATATGTAAATTGTCTTGTTTGTCAGCAATCAAACATCTTAAGGTGATTATTGAGACGAATGAAGAAGACAAGTCAAAAGGGTCTCGTAGACGGCTGGTAAGTATGATTTATTCTTTTGGTTCTGGATAGATATGCCATGCTTCACTGTTTGAAAAGGGTAATGGGGAAGATCTACGGAAATATTGATGTTTAAATTTGATATGCTAAATTAGACCCGTCCTGTAAATAGAATAGTTTACATTATAGTGAGCTAAAAGAATAGGCAACACTAGCAATTTTTTTCAGTCTAGACAATGGGAACTCCTGATATTCATCACTTGTACAGAAAGTTATGAACATATTTTGTTACACTTTAGATGTTTAAAAAATGGAAATTTATTTGTTAAATATTGAATATGTTGCAAAAAGGAGTTTATTTGCTGGGTTGTTCTTTTTTTTTTTTTTTTTTAACATGTGGAACAGGTTCTGAAGCTATTAGAAAAAGAATCCATAAAGTGGGTGGAGGACGAGAATGCTGGTACCATACTAATCCGGCTGGACAGCATCAACCGTAAACGTTTGAGTTTTGTCAAAAAGTAACGTGCCATTGTAAAATCAAATCACAAATTGGTTGAAACTTTTTAATTATGCCAATAATTTGTCTACATTTTGAGTTGGTATGATTAATTTACTGGCCAAGTTTTTTTTGTCTAAGTTGGTAATTGGTGCAAAAGCACGATACAAATTACGGACTGTTCTTTGGTACTTTTTTGAAGGCAAATTTGCCATTTGGTGAAATGAGTGAAGATTTGCGAGTCAAACTATGTCAAATCAATGTCTGCTCAATGTTCAAGTTTTTATTTATTGTCCCTCAAGGTTTTATTCCGATTGTTATTATGGGCTCAATTTATGAAAATTATACCAATGATGATAAGTGAGTAGATGAGATTTTTATAACAGTTGAATTGTGTATTTTTTTTATTTTTATACAATTTTATGTAGATTTAACGGACGTAAAATTTAATCTATTAATATGTTAACGTAGTAAAGAAAGTTTGATAAGGGAGATTCAATCGTATTAAAAAGAATCCGGCATATGACAGTTTATTATTTCATGTTTTATGCTATATGTAATTTATTTAACAAAAAATGGGACGACTTCAGTTCGTTTCTTAAATTGGCTCTTTTCTTAGATGACAATTGAGAGGGGATCAACTACTTTCAACAAATAAATATGGAGAATACTATGATAATAGGGCACAAGAAGATACTCAAATTGATTTTATGTACTTTAAGCAAGGAATGAAATGACATTTTTACGCTAAATAATTGAAGCAAATAGTAAACTTACGAGGTAAATCATTTATTTACTTTTAATAAATAGGTTTTATAGTTAGTAAATTGCTATTTAATACTATTCATTTTAAATATTTCAAAATCTTGCTATTTATTTGTTTTAATTGCATATACTAATAATATTTGAAAAAATAGTTACAAGTATAGTTTAGCGGAATTTTACCATTGACTTCATTAAGGTGTAAAATTTTAATACCTCATTTCAAAAAAAAAAAAAAAAAGAAGGGAAAAAAAAGTAGCACGTTTAGTAAAACCTAATAGAGAGAGAGAGAGAGATTGTGGGAGGAGAGTAGAGAGAAAAAGTTGCAGAACAAGTAAAACGGAAGAAGAAAGAAAAAAAAAAAAGGTTAAAGGTGGAGGGATAAATGTGGAAAAGTCAAGCTTTTGATATTGGTGATCCATTTAAGAGTAAATATAGGATTTACTTGGTAGTTTTCGCCGTGCCTATCCTAATTTGGAGAAAAAAGATGGACAGTTTTTTTTGGGTAAATTGATATATTCAAATAAATATTGTGTTTATTGATAAATACGGCATTTACGGATAAATACAATATTTAACGGTTGTCAGAACCCGTGACTAAATTCTTGGATAAATAAAGTATTTACGAGTAAATACGATATTTACTGATAAATACGGTATTTACCAATCTTCAGCTTCGGCAATCAGATTTTCTATTAAATATGATATTTCATGATAAATATTATATTTGCTATATTTACTTGTCACCGGATTTAGGGTATTTACAAGTAAATATGATATTCATTAGTAAATACGGTATTTACTGGTATATACAGTATTTACTGTATTTACCGGTCACCGGTTGTCAGAATCCGCCGCTGATGCCGGCCATAGTGGAGTTGACTAGAGTGGGGAAGATGAGAGGTGGGAAGGAGAGGGTCTAAGGGTATTTTGGGGTTCTTAATAGTGTTTAAAACTTAAAATATTAAATTTGTGTTATAAACTTTATGTTTTAAAAAATTATGCTATAATAATTTTTAAAAAAATAGAGAATTTACCTTTTGAAGTACATAAATCATTAAGCATAAATTTTTATCTCTTACACTTGATAAATATCTTTTATTAGTATAATTATTTACTAAAAAGATTATAAATCAAGAGTAAAAGATAAAAATCTTAACTCAAGTATATATCAAGATTACCCTATAATTTACTAATCACTCTACTAATCGTTATATTTCACTCATACTAATTGTTGCATATGGCTCTTCCATTTTGCGCGGGAGTCCGTCACAGATCTGAGCCTAATTTTAGAAAGGGAGAAAGAAGAAAATAGACCAAGACTTGAGATGAATTAAAATTAATAGGTCAATAGTTTACATAAGTTAATAAATAGGTCAAATTACTATTTTTGTCCATAACTTGCTGGTTATGAACCATAACTTGACAAGTTATTCACGATTTTTGTTCATAACTTATCTAGTTATGGACCATAACTTAACAAGTTTATCAATAACTTATCTAGTTATGAACCATAACTTAATAAATTATGATATATTAATTTTTATAACTAAAAATTGACATATATACTTTCTTAAGCTTTTCATATTGATCTATTTTCTACTATTTCCGTTTTAGAAATCTCGTGGGCCTCCTGGTTGGCCCAAAAGGTGTGGCCAATTCCGCTGGGTGGTAATACGATACGAAGTGGACCTAGACAGAGGAATCCGAATCCACCACTGACACACATAAAACTGCGTCTTCTTCTTCTTCTTCTTCTTCTTCTTCTTCTAGGTCTTTCTGTTTCCGGGATCTCTCTCTCTCTCTCTCTCTCTCTCTCTAGAATTGAAGAACTGAGAAGTGCCTGCTTGTATCTAATCTGTACATCCATGGGCGGGACTGTGAAAGACGTGCAATCGAAGCAGGAGCTGGACACTCTGGTGCGGAGCGGCGCACCGGTTATCCTGCACTTCTGGGCTTCCTGGTGTGAAGCTTCCAAGCACATGGACCAAGTCTTTTCCCATCTCTCCATCGATTTCCCTCACGCCCATTTCTTTAGGGTTCGTATCATATCTCCTATTCTCCCTCCCCCATTTCCCCACCGTTCTCCTTTTTCCTTTTGGGAATTTTTCTTTCAGCTTCTCAATTCGGGCGTCGAAATTTCAAATATTTCAGGTTGAGGCTGAAGAACAGCCTGAGATTTCTGAGGCTTTTTCGGTTTCCGCTGTGCCCTTTTTTGCCTTCTCCAAGGTTCGTGTGTTTGCTAGTACTGTTAGATTTCTGATTTAATAGCTAATATGGAAAGGGAAAATATTCTTTTTTGTTATTATTGTTGTTGTTATTTACATATCAATTACGGTATTTAATTGGGATTTGCCTTTTTTTCCTGAGTCGATGCTAACAAGAAATTGAAAATTGTATGCTGGGATTTTCTTTTGTTTATGAAATGGCAATCATTATGGGAGTTATTGTAGATGAAAGTGTATTGCTTTTGTTAAAAGACAACGGAATTTTTGTTAGAAGTTCTGTACTTTTATTTCATTATTCATTCCTTTTTTTTTTTTTTTGGTGTTTAGAGTATTAGATAGATATTTTTTATTCATCTGAGCATCGATTGGGAGGGACTAATTGCTCTACACTTTACAACCGTTTGTTTTACTAGATTTGAGAAAGTTCGGCACTACCTAGCATGTGCGTACTTGAGCTATATGCGGAAGTTTTCGTTGTGATTATGGAACCTTTTAAAACTTTTTATAGGAGCACAAAACGTCTGCTTCAAAGCTAGCTTTGGTTTTATGGATGGTTTTTTCTTATTGTTTCTTTTCTTCTCTTTATCAATATGCCTATACTCAGGGCCATGTATGTGTTGCTTCCTGGGTGAACAGTATTGGGTGTATGCATGGTTTACTTGGTCTGACCGTAGATCCGTATTTACTATTTTGTCAGGATGGTAAAACCGTTGATACATTAGAGGGTGCAGACCCGTCTAGTTTGGCTAATAAAGTTGCCAAAGTCGCTGGGTCAGTGAACCATGGAGAACCTGCTGCTCCGGCCAGCCTTGGGTTGGCTGCCGTACCCACTGTCCTTGAAACCGTGAAAGAGTTTGCAAAAGTAAATGGGTCTTCCAGTGTGGAAAACCAAGAGAAACCCGGTCTTAGTGATACGTTAAAGGTGCGATTGCAGCAGCTGATCAACTTACACCCAGTTATGCTATTCATGAAAGGAAGTCCTGATGAGCCCAGGTGTGGATTTAGCCGAAAAGTAGTTGACATTTTGAAGAAAGAAAAGGTCAAATTTGGGAGTTTTGATATTCTGTTGGACAATGAAGTTCGTGAGGGGTTGAAGAAGTATTCTAACTGGCCAACCTTTCCTCAGCTCTATTGTAAAAATGAGCTTCTTGGTGGGTGTGACATTGTAATTGCAATGCATGAGAGTGGGGAATTAAGGGAAGTTTTTAGAGACCAAGGAATTGAGTCAGTCGATTCTGAAAATGCAAATGCAAAAGTGACTGAAGCCGGAAGTGGAAAGGGTGGCATCTCAGAATCTACAGACCTGAGTACAATCCTCGGATCTCGAGTTGAAAGCCTTATTAATTCAAGCCCAGTTGTGCTGTTTATGAAGGGGAAACCTAGCGAACCCAAGTGCGGTTTCAGCCATAAAGTAGTTGAAATCCTTAGGCAAGAAAAGGTGGATTTTGAGTCGTTTGACATTCTTTCTGATGAAGAAATTCGTCAAGGTCTGAAGGTTTATTCAAATTGGTCCAGCTATCCTCAATTATATATCAAGGGCGAACTTATTGGCGGATCAGACATTGTATTGGAGATGCAAAAAAGTGGGGAACTTAGGAAAGTGCTGGCTGGAAAAGGAATTGTTCAGAAAGAGACTATTGAAGATCGTTTGAAGAAATTGATAGCTTCTTCACCAGTAATGCTCTTCATGAAGGGTACACCAGATGCTCCCAGATGCGGTTTTAGCTCCAAAGTCGTTAATGCCCTTAAAGAGGAGGATGTGAGTTTTGGCTCCTTTGACATCTCAACTGATGAGGAAGTTAGGCAGGGGCTGAAAGTCTTTTCAAACTGGCCAACCTTTCCGCAGCTTTATTACAAAGGGGAACTCATAGGTGGCTGCGATATATTGTTGGAGCTTAAGAACAATGGAGAGCTAAAATCTACTCTGACAGAGTAGAATTTTACTTTGGTGTGGTTTTGCCAGAAGATTCCGTCAAAAACTTTCCAATGTTAAGTTTGTCATAAAAGTGCCTCAGACACACTTGTTCCAAAAGATTGTTTAGACACTTTCTCAAAGCGTTCCGATGCTATGATATGGATTTCCGATATAATTAATGTTTCATATTCCAAATTTTGATAAATCTTAGCTACCAATTAGTTTTGCTGCTTGGTTCTTTTTGTCGTAGCTTATGTAGTTCTTGTATGTGACATATTAGTATCGTTGAATTCCTAGTTTTATTACTCGCAGCTTGTTATTGATAAAAATTTATGGTAATCTCTTCTTCTTCTTCTTCTAATATGAAACTACTTCCACTAGCGAGTATTTAGCACTCAAATATGAAACTACTTCTTAGCGAGTATTTAGCACAAAAATTGAAACTACTGCATTAATGCACGGTAACTATTTTGTCGAAAAGGCAGTGTTTATTATTCTAATCTCTCTTTTTTTTTTTTTTTTGACCTTTTTTCATAAGCTAGATCAATGGGACACATGATTTATAAAAATAAACCAAAAAGAAAAAGAAAAAAAAAAAGAAGAAAAAAGAAGCACGGGAACAGAATTTTTATACGCATCAAAACAATCTTATTAAATCATCAATCGCCATTCAAATTTTCTTTTTAAGCAGACAAATGATTGCTACAAATTCTAAGCTTCTGATCATTTTGGTAGCTATCAGCAAATGCAATGCCTTCTAGGCAAGACCAAAACTATGGAACACCGGAGATGAACAAATAGGCGTCGCAGTGTCACGATGACTTGTTTCTTATGGCAACGATTTTCTTTGTTTCTTCATCTTCATCAATTTTGTCAGTTTTCATGCTCTCCAAAAGGCTATCAACCTCTTTACCGGCTCTTATATGTGCCTTTAACAAGGCATGATACATCTGTTTATTCACTGTTACGACAGTCTCCAATGATTTTACAAATGCTTCCACGTCTTTAACACTTCCTTTATCACCAAGCCATTCCAACATTCTTCTGATCACCTTGGGATTTGGCTTCCAATCTTTTCCTAAATAACGAGACAAAGCTGCCTGCATGCACTCCACGGCTTTCTCCATCTCCCCCTTTTCCAGGTACTTGGAAGCCACAACGCCCCAACTATTAGAGGTGGTCGCCTTTCCTTTTGCTGTCAGGTCTTTAAGCAGTGCCTCTGCTTTCCCACACAGCCCCTTCTCCGCATAACCAATCACAAGGGCGTTAAGCACTCGGAAATCATAGCAGTTTTCCGATGATTGCCACTCCCCCAGAACTTTTTCAGCCTCCTCAAGCTCACAAAGCCTTGCCAGCGACTCTAACATAACAATGTAGTCCTTGTTTATGCACCTCTTACAAGCACTTTTCTGCAGCTCCCACAACCTCAAGACCTCCTCCTTTTTCCTCAGACGGGAATAGAGTGAAATCAAATGATTGAACCCAATCCCATCTTTCTTATCTAGCCTCTCTTCTGATTTCTTAAGGGCATTGGTCGCTTTCTCCGTTTGGCCTGCCTTTACGTAAAAATTGGCAGCCACAGAATAGGTATTCCAGTCCATGACAATATTAGATTGGGCCTCCATCTCTTTGAGAACTTTCTCCATTCCTTCAAGATCAGACCTAACACCATAAGAGTTCATGCAAATTCTGTAGCTGAAGTTGTCAGGGAAAACTTTGTTCTCCTTCATCTCAGTCAGAACATCAGGGACCTTCTCATGCTGACCAAGATTTACATACAAACACATTATGTCGTTGTAAGTGAGCGCCAAAGATGCAAAACCCATCTCCTTCATTTTCTGCAGATGAGAGAGCGATTTGTCAGTTTGGCGCTGCCGGACATAGCAATTCAGGAGAGCACCATAAGTCTTCTCGGTCTTGTCAGTCTCCCTCAGATTATTGAAGTACCTCTCCGCAGAATCAAATCCGCGAACCCTTCCGATCAAATCCAGCTGCACGGCATGTTCAGTTGAGGAGAAAATGCACACACCCTTCTTATTCATCCACTCAGAAACCTGAAACCACAAGGCATTCACAAAGCAGAAAATTACATAGACCAATCTCAGTTTCATCCGGAAAGATACAGAATCAGTTTTAGATTTAAGGTCCCAATCCACTTATCTACTACGTAAAATGACTATATTTTCCACTATCCAATATAATGTCGGCCTGATAATTTTGAGAAGCAACGTCAGCAAGATAAATAAAAACTGGGAAAACTTTCTATTCAAAACGAGCGAAATTCGGTACAACTTCATGTCTTGATTTCAACAGTCTTTTTAAAAGACGTCCCATTTCTAAAATTTTCTGGTCAAATATTATCATACATTATAGAATTACTACAAAAACTGACAAGCGACAATGAATTAAAAGTCTTCTACAATAGGAATTGCATTTTCTTCTTCCGTTTCTTACACTTTCCAAGCAGCCAAACACACTCAGTCACATATTAGAACTATCGAATAAAAAAATAAAATAAAAATAAAAAAAGTGAAGACCTTTGATATATACCTCTAGAGCTTGGGAGAATCGCTTACGCTTGCGAAGATCGTGAATGATGCGCTGAAGCTCGGCGACTCGGACCTTTTTCCCCTTCTGAACCCAGTCGTCGAGCTCCGGAGCCACGCTTCTGCCGGGGTCTCCGAGAGGGCTGATCTTGTAGTAGAGAGTGGCCTTGTTGGCCGTGCTAGTGTAGTAGGATCTGCTCGAGCTCGCATTTCTGATGAGCACTTGGGAGAAGAGTTTCGGATTCATTGACATGAAAACAGAGTTTCTGATTGCAGACGTTTGCCTTCGGAGCTCGAGAGAGATGAAAATGGCGTAATTTGGAGGTTTAGGGTTTTGGTTCTGAGAAGTTTGCCAGTTGGGTTCTGTTAATGGGCTTGTAGTGGGGTTGAGCGTTAGGCTAGACTGTGATGGGCTGATGACAGAAGGCCCATATTAATTGACCTAATAAAAACGCAAATATACTTAGAGCCGTTCAGTTCGCTAATTCGAGTTTTTAATTTGAGTTGAGATGTGATGTTGTGTGAGAGCTTTTTACTGTAGCAAAAAAGTTAGATGTGACTGTTTCTGAGAACTTTTTACTGTAACAAAACTCGAATCAGCGAAATGAACGGGGCTTTAGACGTTTACGAACAGCGCATTTTTTAAAGGATCGAAGTAAAATTCATATTTACGGATAATTATATATTTACCTTACGTAAATATATCGCTAGTGGTAATTATATTATCTAGGGTTTACATATTTACTCCCCAAACTTATTCAGTTTTAGCAATTTACCACATAAATTTTTAATTTTATCATGTTGCCCCCTTAACTTATAAAATTGTTGAAATTATCCATTTTGAATGATTGTATTGAATTAGTGTCCAAAAAGTAGGTTCGACAAAAAAATTCAACTACTAATTCAAATGTAACACAAATCTTTTAATTTTTTAACTTTTAATCCTTTAAATCTAGAAAAAAATCCAAATAAATTTAATAAAATGAGGCACATTGAAACAAATTTACAAATTTAGGGGTGGTTGATTGTCAGAATTAAAAGTTTAGAGAATAATTTCCTAAATCAAGATGAGTTCAAGAGGCAATTATGTTAAATTATTTATTAATAAAAAATTATTTATGCTTAGTAAATAAATTTATCAATAAACATTTTTTTTATAATGGTAAATATGTTTTTTTCTTCATCGTTTCAAAAATATAAAGTTATTTACTTCATCGTTTTAAAAATGCAATATTTACTTAAAAACGTTACAAAAACATGCTATTTACTACAATTAATATTTACAATACATGGTAAATTTAAGGGAGTAAAGTTAAAATACAACAATTTTTTAGTTATTTTAGGAAGTTAGAAAAATGTATAAGAATTATTTTAATGATATTGATATTTATACAACAAATTGCTATTTGTAAAATTTTCTAAATTTTTTGTTATATTTTTAATATGACGTTAACGTTGTGTAGAAATACAACTATAGTGGTGAGTCATCTATTTTAAATGAGTTGACATTTTATAATAAGGTGACATGATATCATTTATGGAGATAAGAATATTGGGACATATAAAAGAGAAAATAGGAGCTTGTTTCATCTATTTTAAATTAATTGACATTTTATAATGAGGTGACATGATATCATTTATGGAGATAAGAATATTGGAACATATAAAAGATAAAATAGGAGCTTGTTTCATAAAATAATGTATAAGTTTATCGATTAGCATGTTAGATCATCTCTAATATATATGTCAATGTCAATGTTATGTTTGACATTAAGTGTAAAAATGATAATTTGATGTATTTTTTTATTTTATGCTCCAATGCATAATGTTATTTCCAATGTTATATCAATATTTTTCATAATTATTAAGCTTTCAAATTTTAAAAGTAAAGTTTTAATATTTAAATAATTTGTAAATGATAATGTTGTAATGATTAAAAAACGGTTAATGAATCAAGTATAGCAATCAGATGTTAGAATTTGTTGTTTGTTATGCTTGATGTTAAATTTGTCACCAAGTATAATATTTTTTAAATTTATTATCAAAAATAATATTTTATTGGAGAATAAATTTTTAATTAAATGTCAAATTTTAGTTTTGGCATATCAAATTGGTATTTCGCATTAATGATGCTCATATGCTTCCCTAAACCATATTTATCACTCCAATCTAATTTTCTCTTGAACGATCCCCCATTTTTCAAATTTAAAGAACCAATTCTTATCTTTGATTTGTTTTCTACTTTTCTTTCTCACATTGGTCACGTTTTTCCAGTTTGGGTGTGCAGGATATATGGTTTTAAATAAAAACCTCATATTTATTTTCATTGCTTACAATCTTTTTCTTCTTTTCAATTATCATTAGTAGTGGTAAATGAAAATTTTCAGCCGACAAGAATAGACATATTCAATAGACTACACATTTTGATTTTCTCATAGTTTGAAGATGACTTAAACCCTTCAACGTATAAAAAGTAATTGATGCTATGATTTTTTTTTTCAGCTTTTCCATTGCGGATGACATTTTCCAAGTAGCGCGCCTGGTCAAGACTAAATTACTTTTCTATCACATTATTTTCCACATTTTCTTTTATTTGAAAATTTTGAAGACGTGTGTGATAGGGAAAAACAACTTAATAACAATAACTAGTATGATATAAAAAATAATAAAAAGAAAAACTTATGGTTGATTTTAAATTTAACTTTAAAGAATAAGAGTTATTTCACTTTGCTTTTTACAACTCAAAATGACACAAAATTCCTCATCCGTACTCCAAACTAAATATTCTATTGAGGCGTCAATTTTTATGGATATTAATCACGTACATTTGCTTGTTTGGTGATACCATACGTGATTCAAACATTTTTAAAAAAAATCTTATATGTCACAAGGACTAAAAGAATTACCGTCTCAATAACAGAAGTACCAAAATTGCATCTTATAACAAGATATGAGGAGGGAGAGCTTTCTTCTATGTTAAGTTATAGGGAACAAAGTAGCATAACTCATGTCTTGGGAGGCCAAGTATGCAATTAACCCAAATACCTACGATGGGTAACAGGAATGAGATATTAGGAATTCAATTTGGGCAATATTTATTCGTTAGACATGTTTTTGTTTAATTTTGAATATAAGATTATGGTTATCTCTTAGATTAATTTAGAATTTAGTTAAAGTATTAGTTTATTTCTATAAATTCCCTACTTATTATAATTTCAATTCAGAGAAGTTGATGGATTAATGAATATTGAGCTTCTAATTTTCTGGTTTTGAATTCTTGTTACTCTATTTAATTTTGCGTTCTTTTATCTAGATATTGTACATTTTCAGTGATTATTAATAAAGAAAAAACTAGTATATATCCACATATATAACTTTCACAGTTCATTTTTATCCAAAAGAAATGAAATAAAAAAAAGAAACTCAAATCATGATCTATTCTTGAATAAAAAAAAAAAAGAAAAATACAAATTAAATCCATGGTTTGGAAACAATGAAAACACACAGCAATTTTTTTTTTTTTTTTTTTTTGTGTGTGTTGTTCTTTTTGTTTTGACCAGCAGCACCTAACACAACCTCCTAAACTTATTGTGATGATCACCCATGTAGTGAGAAAGACAATCCAACAACTTAACTTCTAGGGCTTTGAAGTGTGCTATTTGTGTCTGCAGTTCCACCTTCTCTCTCCTTAGGTTCTTGTTCTCCTCCATCAGTTGTAACCGATTGTTCTCCTCCGTCGCCGCCGCACTATCTCGATCGGAAGCCTTGCGGAATGCCGGGAAGACGCTCGGTTCGCATTTTTTCCGTGTGATCTCCACCAGCATGTGCTTGCAGCCCTTCTGGAACTTGTCGTGCTTGAATTCCCATCTCTTTGATGACGTTTTCTTGAATCCCTTTACAATTACGCAGGGTAAAAATCAGCTATACGTAACTAATATAGTACACTGTTGAATCTTGAATAAAAATTAGGCACGTAACTAGATAATTTTTAAGGGGGCGTTTAGTAAATAGATCCAGAATCATGATTCTAGATCCTGATTCAAAATCAGTGTTTGTTTACAGTGATTCTGAATTATGATTCAGAATCAGTGTTTGGATTGGATGATTCTGAATCATGATTCAGAATCTAATGTGATGTTCTAAACCAGAATCACTCATGATTCTAAAACCACCCCCTAATTTAAGGTGATTCAAACCCCTGATTCTGAAGTATAGTTCCAGAATCATGATTTGAACCTAAAATCATGAATCATGATTCTTGTTTTAAAATCATGATTAGAATCACTCTAATTTAAATCCTCATATTAAAAGAACCTAAGTCAAATAAATTGCGATCTTAAAGAGTTTGAGTTACTTTTCTCTTTTTTTTTTACCCCTTTGCATGTTATAATTTTCTTTTGCAAACGCATGTGTCGAGCATCACAAGTAAAAAGATGGGGGCCAAAGACAGTACTACTAGCTAGGCGTCGTAGCAGAAAAGAGTGTTTGTTTCGGATGGACTAATTGACGAATTGTACTCTACACAAGCAAGGCCTATTTTTGACCATTTTGCAGTATAAAAGATCTGGAGTAGCATGTCCCAGCACGCAAAAGATATGGGTCTTTGACCAAATTAACCAAAAAAAACGTGGTTGAGAATCTATAAATCGACTGTTTTTTAATATATACATGTATAAATATATATATACACACGCACATGTACATGTTCCTAACTTGTCCCTATGCTAAGAAATTAATGTGATTTGTTTCTTTGAAGGCTGCCCCACAAAATACAACATAAATACAACAGATACAAACACTAGAAATCAACATAAGTTTTTCGTATATTATCTACTAGCTAGGTGAAATAAATATGAATTGGTAAGCTTCTGTTGGTCTACTAGAATAAATAGTGTTGAAACCACTACTCTCGAAATGTCAATGCATGTAAAATGACATTAAAACCGAAGTATCATAAATGAACGACATAATATCATGCAAGTTTTCATCATTCATTTTCTAAATTTTAGCACCATATAATATATGACAATCCTATTAATTATTTTGGAGAGACAATCGAACAGATAAATATATAGGCAGTATATATAATATTATGTTTCGATCAATAGGGGAGAGAAAAAAATAATCTAACTTAACTCACAATTAATGAAGTTTAGCTAGGTATCAAAATATTGAAAAAAGAAACTAGACATGAGTGTATATATATTTACACACACACATATATACATATATTTATATATATTCACTGGTCAAATAGCGGCTTGATATATACTTTATCGACTTTTTCTGAGGTACATACGTCCACAAAGAATATTAGAACAAACTCGTTGTCTTTATTACCTCTACTTTCTTCATCAGCGTGATTATATTGACAGACGACTATGGAAACTCTCACAGTTTTGACTACCTATTCCTTTTCATTATTTTCTTCAATTATGATTACTACTTTTTGATGGCCGGAAAAGGAAATTAACACGAAATCAAGCCCATGACCACACCCGCCGGTAACATATATTCATCGGAACCCTAATAGTTCTGATCATCATCTCCAAATATCAACCGGGAATTACCAAAAACACGTATATATACTTCTGGGATGTTGAACCAATTATTTTAATCAAGTTCTCTAATTTACGCAGTATATCGGTAAATCCAACCTACTTGGGATGTGTTAACTCTCCACTTAAAAAAAAAAAAAAAAATGCAGTATATCACAAACATACTACTATTTTTTTTTTTTTTTCTCTGAACATATACTATTATTGTTTCTTTCAATATTATAACTATATATATGTGACATATATAAGGGGAACCATATATAACACCATGCACAAATATATGTATATATATCATATTTATAAAGGTTTGGGAATTAATATGCTTGATCAATCTAATTAAGGAATATATAATTTTGAAGTTAGAAAACTGGCGTACGTACATAGGTATTAAGCTGGCGAACAAAGCTGGAGAAATTGTTGTGCTTGAAGTACTTGGGAAGCAAGAGCTCCGAGAACTCCGCAGGCGACCATACAACAAAACCATTGCCTTCTTCATTCCATGAAATCACAGACGATCTCTTATAACTCCCTGCATAATATTCTCCATTAATTATACTTCTATCATGATCTGATGACATAATTATTCCAGCTCCACCTTCCTCCAGCAAATTGTACGTCTTCGATAAGAACGGCGTCGGACTTTTAGTCATCGGCGACTGCCCTGAAGATAAGGTAGTACTGCTGGTAGTACTACTACTCGTGATCTGATCACCACCGCCATAATATTGGTTCAAGTCCAACTCCAATACTTCGTTCTTAGCCATAATATTGTTTTACAACATGAATATTGTCATGATGGTCATTCTTCTTTTAGTTATGTCGCCCAAAAAGTACCTTTCCTAGCTATATATATATATATATATATATATATTGTATATATATAATATATAGTGGTGGTTATATCTTGGAAACTACTAGCTAGTGCCGTGGAAGGTGGACTTGACGGCTTCTAATTTTCTAATTTGTTTGGCTCTTTCTTTAAGTTTCTTTAGTGCATGCAGCTTTCTTAAAGGCCCGGCCGAAAGAGATCATGTTTAGACAACTAATTAACGCTTTTACTTTTGAAATGAAAAGGAAAGGCAGTGGGGGTATGGAAGTTTCGTGGGTTTTGCATTTTGGATATTATATACTGACAAGTGTCCATTAATTTTAGTTTTTGATGCCTTATAGATAATGTTTGTTGCTTTTAGTCAAGCAAAAAATAATTATACATTTTAATCAATTACGCTGACTATATACAATAAAAAAAGGGGTCTTTTTTTCTTGTTACTTGTTAGATTATAGAATCAAATGTTAATTAAAGTAGCACGGGCATGAGTAGGCAATAAGTATAAGTAACAAGGATTATGGTTTGGGTGCATTGAATATTTCTTCATTCTTGGTGTCATCCATTCAGTGCCCAACAAAATTCAGACAATGAATTATGGAAAATGCAAAGAAGGGCTGAGAACTCTGACCCAGCTTTGGAAGAGTCTCGCAAACTTTCCAAATGTCCATAATGAATTATTGTTGTTCTAATTGGTGTTGATAATAACTTGGTGATGTCAGTAATATTTGCTAAAATTACTAAATTAATTAATTTATCCAATGTTGAAGTGGTCTAATTATAAATCATTTATACATCTAGCACACGCATTCCATTAAGTTATTAAACTTAATAACCAATCTGAGCTTGAAGGTCAATCGCATTTCACATGGATAAGTAATATGGCTATTTGTGGCTAATTTGATCAAAAAGGTAATTGATGACCCATTAACTGAGAATCTGATAATTACTAAAGTAGAAAACTATCATTATTAATTAACAGAAAAGAGGTTCTTAGAAACAAATCAAAGAAAGGGGGAAAAGAAAACACAAAAAGGGAACATATTGGAATGCGCAAGATTGGTTGGCAACAATAACTTAACTATTGAACCAAATACAATGGGTAAGATTGGTTGGCAACAATAACTTGACTATTAAACCAAACACAATAATGTCTTATTCTTACGAATTATATTACCCTCCATCACTTTTTCAAAAATATGATTCTTACTGATTACTGCATATCAAACGTCCTTTTCCTAGGTGCATAATTAGGTGTTTACCTATGGCATAAAAACATGTGCATCTTAATCCACTTTTCTTCTTTTCGTTTTTCATATCTTGGCTTATGTTCGAATATTCACTTTAAAGTTCCTATGGAGAACAAATTACAGTGACACCTTTTGGCATGAGCAGTTGTAAATAGATTGCAGTTCTCCAAAATTTTAGGCTTGAACTGCGAAAGCCTAATTACTTTGAAATGAATTGACAAAAAGCGTTAATGATGTAATTGTTTGCTGGCGCCACTGAGCGTTAGCTTTCCTTTTGGGGCTGTTGCCCATGCAGTCTGTTGACGGTGATTTCTCGTTAACAAAAACAGGATGGGTTACCTCTGAGTTTCCTGTTGGATTACCGGCCTTAGTGTTGAATGTGTGTAAGAATTTATTGGAGAGGTGTGTTGTGTGTTAATCAAAGATGTACGCAAATAAAGAAGACAAGAAATTTTATAGTGGTTCACTCTATAGAATCAGAACTACATCCACTGTGGTTGTATATTTCTTTTGAGAGGATTACAATTTACATCAATTGTTTTCTCTAACTCTTTTTCCTCTCTTGGATTTCCACCACCTTCCTGTATGGAGTCTCGCCCCTTTTATACTGGGACTTCCTTCGCTGGGTTGATTTCCTTTGTAGGCAGAAGCACTCAAGTGCTCTCCCTTTTTAGGCCCAGACGTAGCCCACTAATCACTTGGAGTACTGTTCACTCAGCCAATTAGTCTTCTATTACGGCTATGTGCGTTCCTATAACCCTTTTCTGTCCCCTGTGGGGCGGTTTAAGGGTTCGCAATTAATGCCTGCTTTGCAGACATCCCCCACTTCTGTACGCAACTTGCCATGTCAGGTTTTTCCCCAAAGTGCATTCCCCTCGTCGCCAGTGTTGCTTAACCCGCTTGTCCTTCTTGGCGGTTGATTCTACGATCAAGGGATTTTTATGTTTAAAGATCGACGGTACGACTTATCGACGTCAGAAATAATCGACGCCTTAGGTTGGACTTCGTACTTGGCTTTTTGTAACGGATTGGGAGGGAGCCCCCAGACAACTACTAGTATTTTTCTTCTAAATTGAAAAAAAAAAAAAAAAAAAAAAAAAAAAAGACCGCTGGAGGTAACAATCTATTTACAGCGACAAACACGTAGCTTTTGTATTAACAAATTCAATCTAAATCGTCATCGTCTTGTTGTTTTGGTGTTGGCACTTCAAGATAAACATCAGTAGAATTCGTTACAAACTTATTTTCGTTATCCTTTTCCATCTAATAAAACCTTTTACTGTGTTTTTCCTCGAGGGGAAAAAAAAAGAAGAAAAAACTTGATGTCTAATCTGAAAACAATAATTATGGTTTAATCAAAATCTTCATCATCTGGTAATCGGTTGTTGTGGTGTAGTGGTTATCACGTTAGTCTTACCCTTAAATATTATAATTATAAATATTATAATATAATTAATATTATATTATAATGTAATTATATCTTATAACATATAATATAATATATTATAATTATATACGTATATTATAATAGATCATATTTAATATTATAATAATATATATATTATGTATTATACATTGTAATTATATTTATCATTATAATATAATATAGTTGTGATATTGTAATAAATAATTATAATAATAATTGGGATAGTAGTATTTTCTATAAAATTAAATATAATAACTGTATATTTTATGCATAATATTATTTTATTTTATTTTATTTTATAGAATATATATGTGATGTTTTCGTTAATAATATGATAGTTATAATAAAAATTAGGATTTTATTATTTTAAATATATAATATTATAATTATAATCAGCTACTATATTTTATAATATTATAATTAAGTATTTGTATAATTACAATATAAATTTATATTATAATAGATAATATGCTATAATTAGAAATGATAATATACTATATTATATATTATAATTATAATACGTTATATTATATTTTTATATTTTTATAATCATACTATATTTTTAATAATATAATATGGTATAGTTGTAACATTATAATATAAAATAATCAAAATAACATTATTTTATTATATTATAAATTATGATTGTATAATAATAATAAATATTATATAACTATAATTATAATTATATATATATAATATTAGTTATTAAATAATTATATTAAAATATATGATATTAGTTATATTAGTATGAGGGGTAATTTTATCAACATGAAAATATTCATATTTTATTTTATTGTATTTGTAAAAATAAAACTAACTAAATGAATCATTTTTCTTTTTTATTCTATTCTATTATTATTTTTATTTTTATTCTCATTATCATTCATCTACTGCAACTAAACGTACCTTTATAGGGCACATTTGGCGGGGGCAAAGGAGTGGAATGGAAAGATCTCCAATTCTAATATTTGGTTGAGTTTAATATAAGAACGGAAAAGACTTTTACGCCATTTTAGGTGAATCGTCGTTCCTCCACGAACGGAAGGAAATGCCATTCAGATATCTTTTTTCATTTGGGTTTCCGATTTTCCAATTTCGTCGCAAAATAGGTTGTTCATGAACTTGGAGCTTCATCTAATTTCGTGGTTGTTCTGATCTTCTTCGGATTTAGGTTGGGTGGGTGATAATTGTAATTGAGGTTTCGTTCATGAAACCCATTGTTGTGAATCTGATGATAATCTATATCTAGTAGTTGGTAGATTAATGGAAGAATGAAACCCATTGTTGTTACCATACTATCGAGCACTTTCTAGCAAGTTTTTTTTTTTTTATTTCCTTAATTGTTATATGATTTTTTTAGGATTTAAGTTACGTTTGTTTTAAAGGTTCTACATGGTTTAGAATTAGTTTTTGATTTGTTATAATATTTTTTTCTTATATAAAATTTAAATTTTAAAAATTAGAATCATGAACCATAATTTTAAATCTATAAATCAAATGTTATCTTAATTCAACACCCCTGTATTAAAAATATAATTAATTTAACGAACTTAGTTGGTTGTAAGCCTTTTAATCTCAATTATAAATTGGGAATTGGAGTCAACCTAAACTATACTATACTTAAGAGTAATGGCATTTCATCTTCTTCTCATATAAAAAAAAATCTAGTTAATTTAGTTTTCTTTATATATATATATATATATATATATATTTGCATCCCCTATTTGTTTAAAAGTAGGAGCAATTTTGTCCAAATAAAAATAGTTGTGCGCGTTTAGAATCCGTTCTAAAATAATTTCATTTTCTATGTGAAAAGGAAAATGAAAACGTTTTCAATATCAGACAGGAATCATTTTTAAAAATGCGTTTGGTAATTTTATTTAAAAATTATTTTCAGTCTAAGAAAAAACTGAAACTCCGTTTGGTGTGACATTTTTAAAAATATGTAGTAATACTTTAAATAATATATTAAATAATTAATACAATCCCCAATCGATTGCCTACTAATTAAACGTCCCAAGCATGCCTCCTACAAATCAGTTTTTTTTAGTACATTACAAATATATGATAAATAAATACAAATAAGATTATTTAGTGAATGATTACACTGAAAATAAAAAATAAATAAAAAGTTTATGTAGTAAGTAATCGTAACGTATTCATTTTTCTTTAGTTAGAGTGTGCTTGCGGATTAGACTATGCCTAATGGAAAGAAGCCTTTATAGATGTGCTTAGTTTAAGTGCACAAATCATTTTCATAAAGCACTTCTCTCGCTCAAAACACTAACTAAATCATCAATCTTCAGTTTGACGAGCAATATGAAATCAAACAATCAAGAACATGATAAAATCCTAAACATACATTAATGTTCCTGCAGGCCAATATTTGCAAGCTGAGGTAGATGGTGGGTTCATCAGAGATGTTCTTGAGTTTTTGGTGAAAGGAGATGTGGTTGTTTACAGGGTTGTGGCCAAAAACGTCATCTATTATACCCATTCACTTCTTCTTTTAGGAGAGTAAGAACTATCAAATGACGGTTTCAAAACATAACCAATAAACAGTTTTAACCAAACGCGTCGAGCTAAATAGATGTTGAATTCATTTCTAAGGTACTCTCACTCGGAGCAACAACAAAGTAATAACGTGTTATGTGCATCTCACAGTCTGAATCTCAGTACAGATTCCATAACCAACAAAGCCTAATCAAAATATAAAAACTCTTGCCTCCAATAATATCCCAACACTCCACTACACTACATTGCCTAAGCGGATTATACCAAAACTAACTTAAGCCAAAAAGACAAGCTATCCACATTTAACCATGTTCATACGAGAAAAAAAAATAAAAACATAAGCACTGAGGCCTCGTTCTTGTTATTCTTTGTAAGCATATCAAACTCATTTAAACTAATTACAGGATTTAAACATAGATTTTGATGCTTCATGATGATTCTTCAAGCATCACCTATTAAGCCTACTAAAATCAACAATTTTAAAAGAAGTAAACAAATAACCTGTAGGATTAATGAAACCATATAAACCTATCCTTACAAAATCAATAGGACTGCTGATCAATAACAAATTTCCTTCATAATCACAGACAAGTATTGGGAAAATCAATAACAGAAAAAATAATCAAAAATTTCCTTCATAATCACATACCAAATCAGATCTACTAGTTGGGAGAAATTATGAACAAATGATCTGAAAATCAGAAAAAATAACTAACTAAACACCCGAAGGAGGGCCATACCTCAGTTGATTTAGGGGATGAGGGTCGGAAATTCGCCGATCAAGAAAAGACCTTCAACAAATTCACGATCAGATCCGGCAGGGAGTGAAGATGAGGAGATCAGAACATGCGACTTCAACGTGAGAAGAGATGAGCTCAGAACAACGAATGTGGAGAGAAGATGAGAGAGAGATCGGCAATTTCATAGAGGAGTCGAAAGAAATCCGGTGGAGAAAATGAAAACAAGAAAAATGAAAACGATAAAAAATCGTTTTCAGAAACCTTAGATAAAAGAGGAAGTGAAAATAGGTGTTCTCAGTTTTGTTTTTGAAAAAATGGGTCACCAAACGTAATCTTTACAACGTTTCCGTCTTTGCTCTTCAAAAAACGTGAAAAATGTTTTCAAAAACAGAAACAAACGCGCCCGTTGTATTCCATTTCACCATTTTTGTAATATTATAACCAAACAAATAAACTGTATTTCTTTTTCATTCTATTTTATTATCATTGTCATTATTATTTCACCACTGTAACCAAACGCAACTTAAATATCCGAGTTCAATCCTGAACAACAATAATTAAGGCATCGTTCACTTCGTGGATTCGAGTTTTTAATTCGAGCTGTGATCTGACATTTTCTTAGAGCTTTTTACTGTAGCAAAAAAAGTTAAATGTGACATTTTCTGAGAACTTTTTACTGTAGAAACCTAGAACTGAAAACTCGAATCGGTGAAATGAACGAGGCCTAAGACATCGTTCATTTCACCGATTCGAGTTTTGCTACAGTAAAAAGCTATCATAAACAGTCACATCTAACTTTTTTATTATAGTAAAAAGTTCACATATAAAGTTACATCTTAACTCGAATTAACGAACTAAACAGACCCTAAATTTCAACTTTTTCATATTTATTTATTTATTTTAACACAAATGCTTAAATCCTAGAACCCTAAACCCTGAAATTGAACTGAGAATTGATTTCCACATTCCTCTACTCGGCTTTACCAATTATCAGTTTCCTCCAAAAGAAAAAATAATAAAAAATGAGAGTATGGGAGCGAAGCAGATTAGCTCTGCGTTCTGTATTTGGTGCTCAGAATCAGAACGTTTCGGGACGTTTCTTCTATTCCTCAATCTCTAATCCTACTAATACGAATATTGAAGAGAGATTGTATCGGAGGATCTCTCCGGTGGGTAACCCCAACGTTTCGGTTGTGCCGATTCTTGAGCAGTGGGTTCAAGAAGGCAAGCCTGTTAGTCAGATTGAACTTCAGCGTATCATCAAAGAGCTCAGAATCTTCAAGCGTTTCCATCACGCTCTTGAGGTTTCTCTTTCTTTTCTTCTCTTTTTTTCTTTTTTATTTATCTTCTATTGCTTCCCATTCGTTACTTCTTTTTCTTGTTTTCTATTTTTCCTATTCGCTAGTTTCTTTCGTTTAAATGTCTAATTGATTGGATTGATTTTGTTTAGTGCAAATATTATTATGTTAATATCTGGGCATGAGCATTTTATCACGAAAGATGGTCTCTTTTGCAGAATGTCTGGTTAAGACCGAAATGTGGGAATAACTGTTTTAAACGTCAATATGTTGGAGAAAATTGAAAGGGAATTAACATTATTGGAAGATTTATGAAGAATTCGTTAATTTTTGCTGAATTCACATTCGTCAGTTTGTTTCGTTGAATTTCTAGTTGTTCGGATTAAATTTGTTTAGTGTGTAGATTAACACATTTATATCTGGGGAATCACCTTTTCATGTTCATACAATGGACTATCACCTTAACTCCAGCTAATAAGAATAATACTAAGAAAATCAATAATTGCTAGATGTAATGCTAATCTCATCCATTCGAAATCTGGTTTTAGACTGTTGTTTGTAATGACTTTTACAGATATCTCAATGGATGAGCGATAAAAGATACATGCATCTTTCGACCAAGGATGTTGCCGCTCGGTTAGACTTGATCTCAAAGGTTCATGGCCTGGATGAAGCAGTGAACTATTTCAATGACATTCCAGCAGCATTGAAAATTTTTGAGGTCTATAGCACTCTTCTCAACTGCTATGCCAATGAAAAGTCTGTGGAAAAAGCCGAGGAAATCATGCAGCAAATGAGGGATATGTGGGATCATAAGACACCGATTTGTTATAACATAATGATGAATCTGTATTATCATACTGAAGACTATGATAAACTAGATTCCCTCATGTCTGAAATGGAAGAAAAAGGCATCCCTTTCGACACATACACTTTCAGCATTCGGATGAGTGCATATGTTGCCATTTCCGACGTTGAGGGGGTGAATAAAATCATGGAAAAAGTGGAGTCCTATCCAGGGTTAGTTCTGGACTGGAACTTTTATTCGGTTGCCGCAAGCTCGCACCTCAACGTTGGGCTAGTAGATAAGGCTGTTGAGATGCTGAAGAAGCTTGAGGACCGGCTACCAACTGTCAACAGGAAGTCTTTTGCATTTGATGCTCTCCTCAAATCCTACGCCCTGATTGGAAACAGAGATGAGTTGTACCGTATTTGGGACCTGTACAAGAAGGAGAAACTGTTTAACAAGGGATACAAGAGTATGATATGCTCGCTTTTGAGGATTGATGATGTTGAAGGAGCTGCGAAAATTTATGAGGAATGGGAATCTAGGGGCTTACCATTTGACTTTTTAATTCCCGACTTGATGATTGATACCTATTTCAGAAAAGGGCTTCTAGAGAAGGCTGAAGCACTAGTGGACAAGGCGATAGCTAAAGGAGATGAGTCTTCAGTCGAGTTATGGTATTATTTGGTGATTCGGAGTCTTGAGCATAACCAAATCTCCAAGGCGGTCGAAGCATTGAAGAAGGCAATCTCGGTGTGGTCACCTGGATCAAAGCCGAGCAAGGAGACTCTGTCGGTCTGTTTGGAGTATTTGGATGGTAAGGTAGACATTGAAGGCGCTCAGATGTCCATCAATTTGCTGAGAACTGAAGGTATTTCCTATGCAGCTTCTCATGAGAAATGGCTGAATTTCACAAGGGGTGGCGACTCAATGTCCACCTAGTTGGTTCTCAAATGGAGGAGATTGCTAAGTGGTTAGCTCAAAATTATATCGATGTCATAAACTCAGAACTCGGTTCCCCAAAAATCTCTAGCAAACTAGTGAGAATACTGAGGCTTCATTTATTTCGTGGATTCGAGTTTTTAATTCGAATTGAGACGTGATATTTTTTAAAAGTTTTTAACTGTAGCAAAAAATGTTAGACATGACACTTTCTATAAGAGTTTTTAACTGTAAAAATCTAAAACTGAAAACTCAAATTGATAAAATGAACTAGAGCTAATTGTAAATACAAGGAACAATCTTATCAAGGCTTGATAGTTAATGGGCTTTCAACATTCTTGATGATGAAATCCATGTTGTAGTTGAGTGTATCAATGTCTATTTATATATCTCAGGAATGATTTAGATTAAATTATAGTGAGTATTCGTTGGACTTGTATATTTTTTTGAGAGAAAACTAAACAACTTATTCTTATCACTTGCATGGAACAAGAGTTTTATCCCTTATTCTTAATTAATACTTTTTTTTGTTTAATATAGTATTTGATTAGAAAGATATTAATCAAAAGTAAGTTATAAAAATTAAGACTTGTGCAATTTAAGAGGGTATTTGTCTCTCCGTTCGTATCACTCCATTTACAAATGACAAGAAATCGATCAGTTAGTACCTTTCTGTTATTGGGCCTTTCAAATCAAATTGGGGGAAGTTGTTGGGCTGAGTTTCTCTCTTTGTTATGGTGCCGAGGCCAAGCTTTAGTTGGTCCAAGGAGAGAAGGTTGGGCCTTATATGATCTTTGCTTGTCCTAACATGCGGCGTTTACGTTGCAGCTTGACCTTTAATTCATCCTGAATTTCAGAAAATATCTTCTTAAAAAGTTTTTTGTAGTTACAAATTTTCAAAGAGAATTGAGGACTTAGTTTTCAGTTAGAAATGCAAACACTGATTTATCATGGCATTGGTTTATGAAATGAACTCATTGTTATGAGTTTTAGAAGGACTTGATAATTTATCTGCTTAACAATATATTTGAAATACACCTTCCTTTGGAATCAATGTATTATTATGATTCATTTTTTAATCAAAACTGCACACTTCATTCAACCAAAGAAATCGAACAAATGCGAAATCAACTATATTAGTACATAAGCTGAATGAATACTAGTATTCGACCAAAATATTGCTACAAGTTAAAGACTCTTGAGCTAAGAAAAGAAGTTCCAATTCCAAATAAAGACTCCACTAAATTTTGATTGCTTATGGAGAGAGAGAGAGAGAGTTAGCTGTCATTTTGTAATTCAATATGATATTTTTTTTAGGGTGTTTTTCTGGTAGGATTAAAAAAATAAATTTTTTATAATTTTTTATTTTTTAACCGTTATATTTATATTAAAAATTATTTATTATGCATATTATTTTAATTTAATGTAATTTTAATTGATTTAAAGATTAGAAATTGATACTATTAGGCTTTTTTTTTTTTTTTTTTTTATAGGGGGGCGGCAAAAAAGGGCATTGGCAATCATAGAACGGGCCTACTAGGGGTAAAGCCTAAAACCTAACTCACAACCCACCCAATTCTCACCGCCACAAACCAAAAGGAGAAAAATAATTATTTCATGGAAAAATGGAAAAAATAGACTAAAATTTAAGATAAATTAAAATTAATAAGTTAATAAATAGGTTAAATTACTATTTTTATTCATAATTTGTCTGGTTATGAACTATAACCTGACAAGTTATTATCCATAAATCACGGGTTGTATTCATAACTTGTCTGGTTATGAACTATAACTTGATAAATTTATCCATAACTTATCTGATTATAAACTATAACTTGACAAGTTATGACCTATTAATTTTTATAATTAAAAGTTGATCTATATATTTCCTTAAACTTTTTATATTGACTTATTTTTAATTATTTCTGTTATTTCATTCTAAAAAGTAAGCGACAAAGCTAAGTGGACTGTGGACCTAGAAATTAAAAACATTTGGCAACAACAAATAACTCCAAAGGTCTGGCCCTCGTATAATGTCAAATTATCTTGTCACTGAAGATTCTCATACATATTAATAATTGTACAACATTGAGAAAAGGATGAAGAAACCTAAGCCCGTGTCTTAAAATGAGCGTGACTTTAGGGTCAATCTATTGCTTCTTGTGGAGGTAAAGAATACAACGATAGAATGACAGCTGGATCTGGTGGCAAAACCAGAAAAGCGGCCCACTAATCACTCTTGTCGATGATGCAAATTGATTCGACCCCAAAGGCCACATCAATCACGTCCGAGGCAAAAAAGAAAATTGTTGGGAAGACCCGTTTCGCCTTGCGGTGCCATTAATCAAATTTGATGATAGAATGCTTTTTTTTTTTTTTTTTTATTAATTTGAGTTTAAAATTTAAATTTTATTATAATAAAAAAATTTTAAAAATAATCACATCTAATTTTTTTATTATAATAAAAAATTTTCATACAACATTATATCTCAACTTGAATTAATGAACCGAACGAGCCTGAATCACACCCCACTCAAATCTCTCAGTGTCATTAGATCAAAAAGTCTTAGGCGTATGCAAAATTTTTTCAAATATTTGAAAAGTGGGTTTTTGGTTTTAAGTTTTTCGAGTTTAAAAAAATGTAATGGTCAATTTGTGTTCTTTAGTACCACACTAATCTTGGCTGGGGTTGGACAACTTAAGAAGTGGGAAATTATTTCCACTAACTAAAAATAATTATTAATCAAATATTAATAATAAAAATCTTGACTTATAAATCTTTAAGAGTATTTATCTCATTTTTTCGTGTCAATAAAAGTGGCTAATGATGAAAACTACTTCATAGTGCGTTCACTTCAAAAATTTAGTGCTTTCACTTTCACATCATCATAGTCTGCCCTAACGGATTTTTTACCATAAAGGCAATACAAAGAAACAACACAAGTTACACGAAGATTTGTCTTGAAGTCTTTATTTTACTCATAAGCACAAAATGAAATATCTTACGTTATGTCAAACAATACATGAAAAAGATATTTCTCGTTTTCACCCATGCGTAATGAGAATTTGCTAATACTTTTTGAAAGTATAAAATTCAATGCTAAAAATGGATTTGGGATAAATCTCCATTCTCCAGTATGGACCCCTTCACCCAAGGGTCGGTGGGGGATAATGGATTTTGAGCCTATAGCAAATTATTTTACTTGTTAAAAATGAACATCTACATTTTGAAAACAAGAACAAACGTGTAATTATTGGGGTTAGAGAATTCAATTCCATAATAAAGAAAAAATAATCACTTTATTTTTTTTATTTTTTCTCTAGTTTGAAAGTTGACCGGAAAACAAATAAAGTTGACGAGCATATCAGTTTATATAGCAAAACAAAAATTAAATTTGTGGTTCTAATCTGCAAAACAAACATGTGCCAAGACATTAACAGCCCGCTAAGATAGGTGATCTAATTCAAGAAAACTTATTTAGTGTCAGTAGAAAAATTCTCGACACGGTACCATAAAATACGATAAATACTTGTAAATTTTATATTATAATTTACAAATTTTAAAAGTTAAAGTTACTTTAATTATAATGAATTTTTGAATAGTAAAAGATTATGATAATTTATAAATTTTACATTATAAATTATAAACTTTAAAATTATAAAAATTACGATAAATTTGTGAGCTAATACATTTGCGGATTCCTAGTTTAGAATTTCGCTGAAAGTTATTAGTCCCCTCTTGCCTCTGTGCTACCCTAGTGAAGTAATAGAGACTTGCAAATTGCAAGCAAGCAAGTGGGTGTTGACTGTTGAAGTGGATGGACATGGATTACCTTCAAACCTTTGCTGCAAACGATTCCTAGGCATCAAATAGGATAAGAGAGAATCATTTTTTCTTTTTTCTTTTTTCTTTTTTTTTTCGGGTCATATCATGGTGACTGTTTTATTTGCGAGCATCATCCTCCACCATAAAGTAGCTATATCATATTAAAACAACGCTTTTAAAAATAAATAAAAAATTGTCGTGTATATCTGTTTTTTTTTGTTTTTTTTTTAAATGAGACACATTTACGCCAATTAGAAATGGACGTTTTGTATGAAGAGAGATTGTATAATTTCACAGAAAAGCAACTTGTAACAACCAACACTTAAAAAAAAATAATAAAAATAAAAAACCTTGTTGAAAGGGGGTTCATCATGGAGTTTAAAACGATATTTAGAGAAGAATTTTCAAATCATTAATTCATTTAAGGCACGTATATTTAGTTGGACCCAACTCTTAAGTTACTAGATACAAGATCTTCATAACAAAAAAGCTAAAAAGGAGAGAGAAGAAAATTCATGATGTTGATGTATGTCCGTCATCTATGGATAACTTTCCAGTATGGTGATTTTACATATGGAACAACGTTTTTCTCCTTGATCAAATAGCAAAAAACGGCCTGAGCCAAAAAATAAAAATAAAAATAAATAAAAAACGTTTTCTAAATTCATAAATGCTATCAAAAGAGAAGCAAGCACCTAGAGATTCTGTTGAGCAATATTTGTGAGCTGGTCACTTTTATAATTTTATTTCCTTTCAAAAATCAAAAGACAAATAATTAAAGTATTATCAGGCACGGCCGTGTAGTTTTCATGCAGTTGTTTTAACCAGTTCCACTTTTGTCTTTGGCTTTTCGGTCTACTTGAGCATTCCACATTGTACAAGATATAAAGCGATAACATATAAATGTTTGCTTCATTAAATTCCATCTACACGGCATCATACTGTTCAATTGACTGAGAATTATTTTTTAGGCAACAATAAGGCACAATGGGAACTCCCACGATTAGACACGCACTTTTACTCTATTAGTAAGAATTTTCAACTGTTAAATCTGTACATTTTCACATTAAAATTTACAGTATGTAATTCAAAACAATTCATGTTTCAAATCAGACCATTAAAAAACTAATCTAAGGATAAAAACACGATAACTACCGGTGAAACAAAAATGTATATCCTACCATAAATCATATTAACAAACTTATTAGATGTTTTGATGTCACCCTCAGGTCCATTTCACGCATGTTTATTTTGTGAGTTTGAACTACGGTTCAAACATTTTTGTTATGGTGTTGTAAATGTAAATTTTGATTCAAACTTCCTGGTTTGAACCTATGAACTAAACACATTAGTAGGCAAACAACAATGTCTCACGACAAAACATTTTACCTCATGCATACAACACATCTCTAACTAAATCTATGTCCTTCCTTTCATCAATAGCCTCAAGTCAATACCCTTATAATTTTCTTTTTTACAGAGTGTACAAAACGGAGAATGGTCCAAACAATTATTAGAAAACAACAAGGCACAGAAGAAAGCAACAGAAAAGGAAAATGGAGATTCTGTTTAAAGACTTGTCTGCCTGCATCTCCTGCCTCCTCAGCCTAGGACTACTACTTCTCATAAGTCGATACGGATTTGGATATGTATACATGTTGTCTGAGTTTCCAAACACCCCGGCATAAACCATCTCCCGAAACATCCCCACCATTGGGTGGTGGTAGCCCATCATCGGTGAACCACTAAGATTAGGCAGGGATGAGGAAGAATCCTCATTATAGCTGCCATATTGATGAGCATTGTAGTTTTGGCTTTGATAAGGATTACGATATGGAAGTTGCTGACCCGAACGAGATGTTGTAGATGTAAGAGCATGTTGTGCCTCACAAGCTGATGGCCTTGGAGGTATTGCCGTGCCCATATAGTTTGCCTTTCCTTCCAGCTCAGCCTCGGAAGTGGTTTGGCCCCGGCCATAAAGAGGGACCATAGTGGTGTGTGATATGTCAGCCTTGCAAACAGGGCACTGAGGGTGCTCATCAGAGGCAAGAGACGCGCTCTGGACGTGAAGCCATTTGTAGATGCAAGGCCAGCAGTAGAGATGGCCGCAAAGGGTGACTATGGGCTCGTGCGCGAAGTCTAAACAGATGTTGCAGTCGAAAGAACTATTGGTGTTTTCTGAGTTTGCTGCATCTGAAATGGGTTTCCACTCGCGTGTAAAGTAATCCTGCCAAGACATGGTTTCTTCTTCAGCAGTGTTGTGGCCGCCGGCTCTGAGATGAAGAAGAAAATTGAAACCAGTTCAGTGCTCAAAGTTCCTTGTCCTTAGAGTGATTTGATCAAAACAAACAGAGACAAAGATCTTGGCCCCAAAAAAAAAAAAAAAAAAAGTAATAAAGGTAAAGATATAGAAACGAAATATGATGAGCGCTAAGATATGGTGCGCTCAAGAATATCTTAGCACGTTTCTAACAAGCCCATTGGGCCTGTTTAGTTCGATGATTCGAGTTGAGATGTGATTTTATGTGAGAGTTTTTTACTGTAGTAAGAAAGTTAGATATGACTGTTTCTAAGAACTTTTTACTGCAGCAAAACTCGAATTCTAAACTCGAATCGGTAAAATGAACGGGACCAATGTTGTTCTAACTTCTAAACAAAGGCATTTAATGAAATTGGCCCCACTATGTTGGCCTAATTTCAAAAGAGCCCTAATAATTATCATAATTGCATGACGCATGCCAGTGTCTACCGGTTAAGGGAATAGATAATACATTTAACATCGCCGTCAAATATAGGAAAACATGTTAATCATTTTTTGAAAAAGGATATCTCAAGCACAGAAATTTTCACTTCCACCCCTCCCAAAGGAGACCACAAATAAATATTTCAACCACCCTAGATGTTCTAAGGTTATCATCTGGTTATGGCTTTGAATCCTAACTTTATCTTGGACGACGTTATATCTGGCTAAGGAGCGATACATAAAGCCATTTCTGATACGGCGAATGATACACATAAATGATAAAAATTGTACTGTTTTAAGGCTTTTAAATCGGATAGAGGTTGGACTAAAATACCAGATTACCCCACTTCATTAACAAGGACATACCGCAACCTACCATGTGAAATGGGTAATTGACCTACATGTCCACTAGAAATTATATAAGCCTAAACTTGCAATTAATTCCTTCAAGGAGAATATATAACTACAGATTATTTGAGCTCTCCCAGTTGTTCAACTACAAAACATTCAATAGCACGTCCAATACTAATCACATCAACAAAAACTATTAACAGATCTTTACCAATTATAGTCCAAATTAAACAAAAGGGAAGCCCATGTGCAGTTCAAGAATAATTCCCAAACAAACACATACAGAATTTATAGCAACTTTTGATATGGTGAAACTTGAATAGCATAAAAGGCAGAGGAACTAGAGAGAAGGGTCTAAAGACTCTAAACTCAAAAAAAAAAAAAAAAAAAAAAAAAAGATCGCTTTATTTCCCACCAGTCAGAGCAAAAGCACCGTATCGGGGGTTTTAATTTTTTTTTATCTTTTTTTTTTTCAAATAAAACCTCTATAACACACCTGAATCTCTTCAGAAAGAGTTATATAACTCCATTTTCAATGCCGAGGTCTTGTAGTAAACGATTCAAAAGGAACTTGAGAAGTACACATCTCTACACAACAATCTGTTCTTATAATGCATAAAATTAACTCCAAATTTAATATAATCTCGTGCAATGCCGACTTTCAGATTTCCACCGAGAAAAAAAAAAGAGCCAAATTACTCGGTATGTTTGTTTCTCGCGAAAGCATACGGGAAAATAAAACGAAAATGTTTGAAATTTCTTGTGCAACCCAAACCGAGCTCGCATTTCAACGATAATAAAGAAAATTTTCAAAACAAAAACAAACGTGTGAAGCACGTACCGAAGAAGAGATGCCTCGTAGAGATAGGCGGCGCTATGTATGACGGAAGCGCGGAGAGCTTCGATTCGAAGAAGCTTCAATGGCGATTCGGCGGAAATAAAAGCAAGAGAGAGAAAGGGTGTTATAGAGAGAGAGAGATGAGGAAGGGCGTGCGTGCCGTCGCGTTCTTATAAACGAATCCAATGAGACCAGCTGTAACCAAACTCTTCATCACGCCTCGTGATCTCTGCTCCACGCACCGCGCGTGCCTTGGCCCCCTCTAATCCATGTAGTTTGCGCGTGAACAAACGGATGTTATCTTTTCTGTTGTTGGATTCTTTCCACCTTTTCCCTCCTCTCTCTTTTTTTTTTTTTTTTTTTCTTTTCTATCTTCTCCTTTTATCTTTTTTTTTTAAGAAATAAAATACTTTAATGCATTATCTCATTTCAATTTGGTGACAATTTGACAATATGATATTATTTCAATATATAGAGTTTTAGCTTCACAGAAAAAACAAAAAAAACTTTGTTTATTATTAAAAATATTAATATAATAGTTGATATATTTAGGCTCCACTTTAATAATTTTACAAAAAATGGTGAAACTATTCTCTAATTATTTTAAGAATATTTTCTAACATATTATTTTATAGATAATAGATAAATAGAAAAAGAAAGCTATCAACCGTAGTCTTTTAAAAGATTATCGAGCATAATTTTAAAAAGAATATACTTCTGTGTATTATTTCTGTCATCAATTTGCTTTTATTATTGAAAATATTAGTATAGTGTTTTGAGATATTTAGGCCCCAGTGTAATCATTTTTTATTATTATGAGCGAAAAAATGGTGAAATTGTTTCTAATATTATTTTAAGAATATGTTCTCCCGCATCACATTTTATATAGAATAGATAAAAAGAAAAAGAAAGCCACCAATCATAGTATTTTTTTGGATTGACTTCATTAGCCTGAATTTTCTATTTTTGTTTCAAATATGACCTCCAAATTTTAAAAAGGGCTCACCTTAATTCATATTTCTCTTTTTTGTGTCCTTTTCGTGTTCTCCCAATAAAATTTTGACACGTCAGTTATTTATCATAGTTTTTTAATTGACATGATATGAAATTTTAATTGACTTAGTAATTTAATTCATGTGACATTATATTATTAGATGACATGAAAGATAACATAAATAAGTGGATATATGGGTCAATTCGATAACATGACACTACTTATAATTTTATAAATGCCCCCAAAATATTGATTTAAATCAATTAACCCCATGAATAATTACTTTTATGTCATCTTGTCCATTGATTTATTAAAAGATCAGACTGCAACTTGATATAAAATCAATAGTTTATGGGACATTATGGAATGACTTTAGTTTAGGAGGTTTTTTGAATCACTTTGCATACTCTAGAGAATGAAGTGAACCCTTTTCAAAATTTAAAAAATATATAATTCAAGAACATTTATAAAATTAATACTTTTTTATAATTATCAACTATAATCTTGAAATTATATCTTTTTTTTTCAAACAAAATGAAATTATATACGACAACTTTATTTTTTTTCTCTTTGATAATCTCCTATAATATATTATATATTAGTAAAAATACTAGTATTCTCGGTTCCAACGGAAAAAAAATGCCATTGGTACTCTTACTAAAAATTATCTAATCATTTTTCTACAAAAAATAATAATAATCTTGAAACTATTACAATCTTTTTTTTTTTCAAAATGAAATTATCACATCAATTAATTACACATAAAAGCTTTTTTTATAAATTATAGCACCCACTTTTATCATGGTAAGGTTAAAACTCCGCCACTCTTATAAAACGGGCCCCATTAAATGAGTAGTGGGACTCACCTAATAGAATCTATTTTATAAGTATGAGAGTTTATCTTATCCGAATAAATACCGTATTTCGATGAATTAAGATGAAAAGTTGATGCTTGAAGCATTTAATCTTATCCAAAAAAAATAAAACATTGCTTTATGAAAGTTTTATCTAGTTGCTTTTTCTTATTTTTCTTTTTTTTTTTTGGATAATGAATATATATTTTCTCTTCAGACATACCTTTCTTGAAACATTTATTTGGACAAATTCTTTACCAAACCATTTTGGAGTTCTTTAAGAGAAAAAGAAAATGTAGCAAAAAGAAGAATGAGATGTACCCATTGTTTTAAAAAAGAACATGTAGCAAAAAGGCACTAGTCCAACTTTATAGTTTTTTTTTTTTTTTAAAGAACTTTATAAGTGTTTGTTGTCTCTCAATGTCCCATAATGTATGTGGATTGTATATATTGTAAAATATATTCAAAACAGTAGTATTGAACTTTACATTTTATTTATTTAAGTTAAATGGCTCGTTTGAGTATAAAAGGGGCTAATATGAAAAGTAGACGGTTGGTTCATGGATTCATAACTATAATTTAGAATCATTTTTAGTTTACGTGTGTTTTTTGTGAAAGAAAATACTGTAGCAAACCACGAACCATGACACGAATCTTCATAGCGAGATGGATTTTAATATTGGTGGGACATTCGTACAACAATTTTAGAAAACGATAATTGACCTTTTAAATAATTTATATTAAATTAACAATTCCAAAATCATATAATTCCTATTTGTGAACCACAAAATATCGTCCTTTTAAATAAATAAAAAAGAAAACCACACAATATTGTATTTTCGATTGACCGTTTGTAAAATTTACCAACATATTTTATTTATTCTGAATTTACAAGAAAAGGAAAGTTCTTTTCTATATATTTTTTTCACTAAGAAATCATTCTAAAACATGGGAACTCATTTATTCCTTTGTACATGTTTATTCTAATGCAATAAAGGGGAACAAATTGGTTGTGGTGGTGCTTCCATTTTTTTTAATTAAAGAAATAAAAAAAGCATATTGGACTTTGACCGTGTAGCATCTTTTTTTTTTTTTTTTTTTTTTTAAAGAAGGTTTATTTTGATGATATCCAAAGCAGGTTTTTATGAGGATTATTAATATTCTAATATTACTTTTACGGAAAAAAAGTCGTGAGCATAGAAAGAGCGGAGAAGAAAGAGAATAGGAAGTGCATTTTTGGTCGGCCGGTCTTCAAAATACATTCACGAGTTCTATGTTAGTTGATTTACACGATGGTAGAGTTTGTGTTGGTATTTCCTGCCGGTGTTGGTGTTTGTTTTCCCTCACAAATCTTAGATCTGTGTGGGCTTTGGTTGTTTTTGGTCGTGTTCCCCCATTAAGTTATAACCTTGTGTGGGTTTTGTGTTGTTTTTTATCTTTTATACGTCTTTAGTCAGATCTCTCGCTTCGGTGAGCGTGATTTGAAAGAATACTGACTTTCATAGATAAGTCTTTATAAAGAGTTTGCTACAACCCTTTCGGAAAAGCCAACCGTAGAGGGAGAATTAAACGAGCTAAAAAAAGTGCTCCAAATTGTGTCAATTATCAGACCTTGGATCTCTGTATTAGGACGCCAATGTTGGGATATATGCCCATAAATCAAATAAGATGTAAATATTTTACTGATTATCAATGAAATGAGGAATTTTTTCAATATTATTTTGCATACATGTGATGTTTTATAAATATCAAAATCCCTAAATTATTTTTTGATGTAACTTTAAACATTGTATATAATTGTTATATGTAGAGGATAATGTTTGAAATAAAATAATCTAAACTTGTCCGTAATTATAAATTAAAGTTGGGATCTTTAATTTAAAATTACTAATGCGGTTCATTACATTCTGAATGAAACAATCTTATCCTAGATTGTTAATAATGAGATTATTAGAATGAAAGCATTTTATGTAATATGATTACATAGGACCGGAACGCGATTAATTATGAATCTCTAATAAATTCTGTTATTAAATAGAGTATTCAATGTTAATCAATGATGGTCATATATGTATTAATCTTAATTCTGAGTAATTAATAAACTCCTATTTATGATATTATGTTCTTTGACATATTGAGTAATGACACATGTGAATAATATTAAAGTCTTGGTATATTGGGAGCATAGTAAAATAAATAGCCGGGATTATTAATTTACAAGATGAAATCCATTCCTTCATAATGAAGTAGATGGACGGTTCTCATAAGTGTTGATTCAGGACTTGAATAATAAGAGCGCTCAATTTTATGATTGGATCATAAAATATATTATTCATTAGAGGATCAATGGTACTTATGGAGAAAGATATAATTAAAGAGGTTAACGGAAAATACCTAGCTTTAATTATGAACCGTTTATGGAGAATTAATTCGTATGTAGTGAATATATCAATGGACAACACAAATTCCGTGAACATAATTATTTTTATTATTTTAAGAGTGCAATTCCAAATTTATAGTGGAGTAATTTAGAATTAATAATTTTGACATATTAATTAAGGTGTTAATTAATTATCAAAATTATTGGAGCTTAAAATTATAATGTTCATAGTTCCTCTCAATGGTTCCATAAGATTAATGTGAACTGAATATATCATATTGGGTTATGATTATTAATATAGAATTGAGAATTCTAAATACACATATTAATTAATTTGATTAATTAATATTAAAATTATTTTAAATTAATATGGATGAATTTAGAGAGTTTTTTTTTCTCCACGTTTCCTTCTTCCCCCTCGTTAATATATATATATATATATATTTAAAAGGAAGGAAACGTGCATGTGCACGTTTCCTCAAAAAAAAAAAATGAAAAAGGGAGTGGGAGGAAACGTGCTGTTGCACGTTTCCTCTCCTGAGAAAATGGAGTAAATGTGCGGTTGCACATTTACTCAAAAAGGGAATGAATGCTGTTCATAAGAAATGTAACGAAAAAAAAAAGTTTTTTTTTTCCGAGAGAGTGAACAGATAGAAAGAAAAAAAAAGGAACGGGAGAACAAAAGAAAACCAAAGAAAATTTCTTGAGTGCCATCATATACTTTTGAGAAAAGTGAGTGATAATTATAGGTGGCTTCCCTATTCATCCATCTCATGTGTTGAGAAACCCATTAGAACGCCCACACATTCGAGTTCATGTTAATCCGGAGATACATTGAGAAATAACCGTGGTGTTCTTGGAATTTAAGAGCTCAAGACGGTGTTGGAGGAGTTTAAGATTTTCGTCCTAATCGAATGACGGTCAAATCCTCATTCCTTTTTTTAATATCTTTGTAGTTAAATTAACATGAAATAATGATCGCATTAAATTTTGATTTATGTGATTCGATCGATACCACATTTCCGCACAATTTTTTTTGAAAATCCGGTTTGAGAAACCAACAGCCAATAGATCTATCAATTTTTGTTTGTTGTATCAA